CGGCCTGCCCCCTCCGCCCCCACTGACCGGTGCTCATCCTCCCGATTCTGCCGGGCCGCATGGGCGTGGCGCCCCTCCCGGATCTCCTCCGGGGCGTCTGAGTACTGCTCCTTCAGTTCCCGGATGATGGAGCTGCTCAGCGCTCGCCTCTTCGCTTGCTCCAGCATCTTCTTCTCCCTCTCCATCTCGGTTTCATCTGCGAGAGACAGAGAGAGGGGTGAGCGCCGGCAAAAAAGCCCTCGCCAGGTGCTCCACTGCAGCCGCTTCTGGGACGGAGCAACCCAGTTTGTGCTTTTTTGACACTGTGACACCGGACCCTGCCTCCCCCCCCCCACTTTTCTCAACCAGGTTTTGTTCCTACTGTAATGCACAGGGACCAGGCGAGGAGGGACGTATTTCCGGATGCCTCCTTTTGATGTCTCTTTCCCAGAATTCTTCACATCCCCGTCATCTTCGTCATCTTCTCCATCTTCCGAGTCACTGAGCTGGGAATGGGGAGAGAGAATGGCAAGAGGCCGGTTTAACTTAGAGTAGATCAGTGCTTCTCAACCTTGGCAACCTTAAGATGTGTGGACTTCAACTCCCAGAATCCCCCAGCCAGCGTGGGTGGACTTCAACTCCCAGAATGGGCCAACTTCCTTCTTAGTCCTAGTAATGAACAAACTGGGTTCCAAGCTGGCTGCAGGATTGGTCTCAGATCAACCTCAATCAAAAGAGAGATTATTAATATTAATAAGCCACTGGTTGTTTTCCGGTGGATCTTTTTCCAAGAGCAGTTCTACCTCACCCAAGAAAGAAGGGAGGGAGGGAGGGAGAAAGGGACCTATTTGCGTCTTCGAAGATGTATGCAAACTATTCCTATCTATTCCAGTCTTCCGGAAGCCACTGGAGAGTCAGAAGTTCCCATAATTTAACCATTTGCACCCCTCCTACCAAACTCAAGACCAGACAGGAGGAGAGGGGAAGCAGAGCTCCAGAAAAACTTTGCCCTCTCTCCCCTAGACAAGGAGAAAACAACTAAGCCCCAAAATCCATTTTAGGAGTGAGAAATACAAATGCTCCAACCGGAAAACGAAGAGGCTGGGTGCAACTTTCTGACCTCCCAGATGCACTGAACTGGGACGATGGGGGCTGTAACCCAATATATCCGGAAGCACAGATTGGAAAAGTTTGACCCCAGCTCATTTTTACTGTGAACCACAAGGAAGGCTTTTTCCCGAGCCATTCAGATCCAAATCTTTTTTTTTTCCTACCTTGCTCATCAGATTATTCGGATTCGGCTTGAACCTCAGCGGATCGTTCTCACCTAAGAGAGGAGCAGCGCCCAGGAAAGCAAGTTAAGATACCTCTTCTTAGGTGCCCAATTTGCACCATTCTTCCCCCGGAGGCCCCCCAAATCCCTCATGACTCACCCAGCCCCCCGACAACAGCGGCCTTCACCAGTTTGTCCATCTGGTACTTCAATTTTTGCTCAATCGGGCGCATCTTCTCCAACACCTGTTCCCAAAGCAGGGGGGAAAGCACTTTATTGAAAAATGAACCTGCTTTGATGGACTATTTGCAAAATGCAGGTGGGGTGAAGCTTACATGGGGATTTGAAGATTG